ATCACCATTGTTGTTCTCTATTTTCTGAAGACTCTCTTAAAAGTATGATGTTAAGGGTAAATCGCTAATTACTACTTGTTTTAATCTGCTAATACAAAAGAGTAGTCGGGGATGCTCAACAGCTTATTCATTGCCTTCTTTGCTTAATTGAAATTTCTTAAAATATATCTTGCCTCAATGTTATGGTTCTCCCACTGCCCATGTGGAATTACAACTCTGCTTCTAAAATATTTTCTGTGTTAGTAATTCTTTTTCACTTAAGAAACATACCATCAGTATTCTTCTCCTTCTTCATTTTTTTCTTGTCTTATTTTTCTCCGTATTACTGTTATTATCGTTATCATTGCTATTATAATTGTTATTATCAGCACCATTTCTGTTTTTCCACTTTCCGGTTTGTATATTGCGTTTAAAAATGAGATAAATTTTTAAGCAGTATTTCATAATTTTTTCTTGAATTTCAAAAACATACAGATCATAATTCGTAATTAACTAGCTCGTGGAAAGTAAGGAAAAAAACGCGGGGTCCAATAATTCGAAATGAAGTATATGGAAAAAAGTGAAATAGCCCCAACTATCGAAGGGAAAAAAAACGAATGCAGTCGCTTTTCAACATACCAATACGGCATTCTATGTGCCAACATGTTGCAAGATAGACATTTATCATTTGTATTTCTCTGAATTTAATTCCTGAAAATGTAGCTGAATGAAACAAGGATACAATAGGATATTGAGCCGGATTGAGATTACTGATTGATTGCCCATTCCATCGTGATGGAATCAAATCTTTGTAATGTTTCAATCTTTTTTCCCACAAATTTCTCTCATATCTCTCTCAATGAGCATTTTCGGAGTATTCAATGTCCAATTTCTTAGCTTATGATTATCACTGACAATTTATTTCAATCTGCTTTTTCAACATATTGACTTCAAATTTCTTTTAAAATCTTAAATCAATTGAAGCTAGGATGAAGAAGAGGAAGGAAATCCTGAGCAATTACCACTTCATATTTTAGCTAAAAAGAAAAATGCGGCACAAACTTTTGCCGAAAAGTTTTAAGTTGAATTCTGATAGAAATTTAATTTCAAAGTGTTGAATTCGTAATCACAAACAATGTAGGTATAGTTTAGACTTTAAGCGCAATTTTTGTTCTACAGAAGCCAATCAGAAATATTATCCTTACAAGAAAAGTAATAAATCGTTAATAATTTAATGAATTAGATTACTGTATAAACAAAAACGAAAAAAGCTTCCGTATTACTTAATTTTTAATAATCTAACTGTAGCAACAATATACATTGAATATACTTTTCTCACATCTGAATTGAATTTTTATTTTTGATTGGTTCAGTTGCATGAAATTTAATTATTTAAAGAATATGCTAACAGTTTTAAACTATGCAACATTATGATAAGAAATATAAGTTGTTAAACTGTTATGAGGTGTTTTGTTACTAAGTTATCATCAGATAATACTATGAAAACTATATATTGTGTAATATCAGAGATCTAATGTCGTTCGAATAGTTATTTGAGTGATAATCAAGATTATCATATCATTTATCAGATATACTCATTTCTGTGTATTAATAGTAAATATGTTGTCATTGCGCTTTGCATCGTTGCAAAAATTGTTTGAGTAATATATGAAAATGAATTAAAGGTAGTTAATTAAAGGTGGGAATAATTAAACTTGAAAATATTGAAAATATTTGTGAAAATCTTCCATCTAATAAGGAATGTAATTTAAATACATAAAACGCCTAAATATTATTTATTATATGATTAATTTCAGTCAAGAAATGGCTGCTTTAATAGAAAATATAATTAAGATACTTCTGATATTGGCAGAAGTTTTTGCTGATACCCAAAATTTTTCACATACTCAATCTGTAAAGATTTGCATATCAAAACTTAAGCTGTTGTATAAGATGCTTATAGGATATGGTATGCATATAGAAGGGTTCAGTAAGCTTTCAATTGAAAAGCATAAAATATAATTTTATAATTTCAGAGAATTAGATACGTGACAAGAGATGATTTATTTGATTTGAATACAACGGTAATTTTTGCTTTACTATAGGATATATGAAACAAATTGAAATTTTACATAATATTTGGGAAAGGAATATCTATCTCATGCCAATATCGATTTTACCAAAACAATTTAAGCATTTTATAACATTGCGATAAAATTGAATATCAATTGAATCAATTCATTTTTATCATTTTCAACTTTCACTTCATATTTGAAATTATTTCTACTAAAAAAAGAAATCGAATAATAAAAATTCATTTGCATTTTAGATGATCATACCATTAAATGCATACATTCTGCAATTGATTGGTAAATCAGATTCCATGGATGTAAATTTCAGCTCTGTTAACCCTATCAATTTACTTTTGGTGATTATTTGCAAGCAGCTTTTATAATTTCAACTATTAAAACTATGAAGGAAAAGAGTGCAGCAAAAAACGAATGACAGATTGTTTCATCAATTTTCCGAAACATTGAAATGATAAGCTCTCATTTCTTTTTTATATCATTATTGAATAACTTGGATCATTGATATATAAGAATATCAAATTACAGACTTTAAATGAAACAAATCCAGAAATGATACATTTCAATCGGTTTTCTGAAATTCCAGTACCAATATGGTTTCAGGTGCTTTATATAAACTCATTTATTCTTGAAGCAATTTAAAAACACTTTTGTACTTGCTTAATCGATTTATGTAAATCATAACTTTTAACATTCCTTCAGTAACTTACTATTATTTTCTGCTGCTAACCTGAAATTATTTTAGTTTCATTCAACTATTCAGTTATTGGGAATTTTTATTATTTCATGTTTGATTTTATATGCTATTCTAATGATATATATCATATGTGAAAGAATTTGGCATTATCGGAATAATGTGATAAAAATGAAGCGAAAAGAAGAAAAGATCAAAGAGAAGTTTTATGTAATAGATTTTTTAATTGTGAAATAAAACATTTTCTAGATTGAAATCAAAATAAGCACTTTAATTAGTTTAATTACTTTTATAGACAATTGCTAAAAATGTACAACAAATAAGCGAACTGCAAGCTATAAAAGCAGGAACTGAAACAGAACAGAAATTATTCAATCAGGTGAAAACATTTAAGCAAAATAATTTTTTCTAATGTAAAAAATTAAGAAAAACACTTCAAAACACTCTGTATCCGGAACATAATTCTTTTCTCCTGTTTCCGGATTTATTTTCTCAAACTAAAAAAGTTTTGAGCGTTTTTCTAGATATTCACTCTACAAGATTTTACTTTAAAAGTTTTGAATTTGAAGTTGCTTAGATTTTAATATCAGTTTAATTTTATAGTTATTCAATATAATAAATATAGACTCAAATAAAGAAGTAATTTTTAATTGACCTGAAATGTAATTAAAACTATGATTTCATGTAATGCATATTAGACAACAACAAATACTCTTTAGATTTGGAATGATCTTCGCTGTAAATATCAACCAAATCAAGGAGAAAAAATTGAAACTCTTTTTCCAAATGATTTCAACAACAATGTACCACAAAATATTAAGCCATAAGTATTTAAAGATAAATGATAAATTAAAGAATTTTTTTTTAGTAAATTAAGATTCTGAAAGAATATGCAAGATATCTTTCGTATCATTATCAGAATCTCTTTAGAATCCATGCATCACTTCCAATATTGTCAAATGAAATAAAATAGAAGTTTCTACTTCATGCAATTTACAATCTTATCATTTATTAGAATGAAGGCAAAATTTTGGTGAAAATTTTCAACGAAATTTAACACAAATATCTTTGTGATGAATGGCAAAAATTTCAGCATTTATAAGAGCAAATTTATCACTAATATCACAGAAGTATTGATTATGAGATAGGAAAATGTTTATTTCTGTGCAAATAATTGAATGAGTAATAGAAATGTGCGTTATTGAAGGAGTGATAACATTTATTATTTATCACTGTTATCTTTTTCATTTCTACTTTTTTTATTATCATCTGATTTTTTTTTATAAAAAATCACTTTTTTTCGGTTTATTTCAAATCTTTCTTTTTTTTCAATTTTTTTTCTTGATCCTTCTGTTGACTAAAGTGTTGATATCTCAGTCTCATTAGTATCAATATCGTCACTTTGTTCTTTTTAGGCCATTTACATCAATTTTAGGACAAATAAATGCAGTACAGAAGAAAGAAAGAGCATTAGCATGTAATACTTAAGATAATATTCAAGTGAAACGATAAAATGATTGAGTAGCCGGTGGTCAATGTCTGATAGGATCATTCAGATATATGGGATTAGTTTTTTGCATAACGTGTTCCTTAAAGTGTTTTTAGCAGAGATTCGGAAATCGCATGGCGTACAAGGTATGAGCTTGCTATGCACAATCACTCTCGAGGAGCAAGTAGATATCCCGTCAACGGTAGTCGGAACTGATAGTCAGTGCTTCTCCGAAGCATTCGTGCAGGATATGAGCTTGACATACACAATCAATTTCAAGGCTTAATAGAGCAAATAGATATCCCATCAACGGTAGTCGGAACTGGTACTCATGCTTTATTATTTGTCACTGATATGTCGCTTTGTTATGTCCACCTTCGTCACTTTTGACAGATGACCATGTATTATTCAATAAACTTATTCTTGTATCAAGTAATTCGTTTCCTTCTCAAGTTTTGTCGTGGGGTCATATGTATTTTTGAGTTGGACATGAAGAATAAGTAAAGTAAAACACATTTTCTGTCTCTTATTTCAATTATCGAGGCTCAAATCATTTTGTGAATAAAGAAGGCGCGCCGTCGTCAAAGATAAAGAGCTGTATGGTGACGCTTCTCGCATCTCGAATAACTTCTGGCTTTTTGTCTAACGCACCACTGTTGGATGATATTTAGGAATAAAAGGTATATCAGTACAAACATCACCATTGAAAGTTTGCGCAATTTCGATTTATTTAGAAAGTGGAAAATAGAGAATGAATGCCTTCCGAGATGGTTGGTTCACAGAGGTAGCACCCGAATCGATAGAAAATGATGATCCAAAAAGTATCTTTCAAGATTATATTGGCTAACATGTCTGATGTTCAAAAGCGAATTTACTATTGATATTTTGTTACAGCGTTGCTCTTTCTCATTCAGTTATTAATAACTGTGACTGAATTGTATTCGGATTTTTCTGGTGATATGAATATGGCGATATTTTCACAATTTTTTTGTTAATTATACATATTATCCCCATAATATCTTATTTTTGAAGTGAAATTAGTGGCAGATAAAGATGATAACTTGATCGATAACCGAATTTGGTCGGGGCAAGCATTCTCATTGAAAGTTGATGAAGTGCTCGCTCACGAAAAAAGCAAATATCAGGATGTTTTCATTTTCAGAAGGTTAACGACTTTTTGCTGTTTCAGTTTCTATTGCATTGGTGTCAAACATAATGATTTATTTATCAGCACCACATTAATTAAAGACAATATCAAGTTTTATGCTTGTAGCAGGACACATGGCAACGTGTTAGCCCTTGATGGCGTAATTCAATGTACAGAGTACGACGAATTCGCCTATCAAGAAATGATTACTCATTTGGCAATGTTTTCTCATCCACTACCTCAAAAAGTATGTATTTCCTGTTCTAGTTTGAGTTAATTTTAATTCCAAATTCGGATATTTTTTTTATTGCAAATAGGATGCATTGCATGCATTATTTGATTAATCTTTGTCCTTATCTGTAAATAAATTGTAGAAAAATATGCACTTGATCACTTATTACCACCCTTTGCTTCATTTTGACTGAAATATCTTTCTTGAAAACTACACGGTTCTTTTTTTGGATAGAAGGTCCCATCATTACTCTACTTTAGTACCCTATTTAATTCCAGTTCATTTTCTGAAGAGTCTGGAAAGTCGAATGATTTAACTCTGCAGAATTATTTCTTATCAGGTTTTGGTTTACTTTACTTTAATTATATTGTATAGGCGAATATGTTATCGTTTAAAAAATATATGCTATTATTCATTTGGTTTTTCTTTAGGTACTAGTTATCGGTGGTGGTGATGGTGCTGTTTTGAGAGAGGTACTGAAACATGAATGTGTAGAATCAGTAACAATGTGTGAAATTGATGAAACAGTAATCAATCTTTCGAAGAAATTCCTCCCGCAAATGTCTGTCGCATTTAGTAGTCCGAAATTAAAACTTGTTATCCAGGACGGGTTTGATTTCCTGAAGGTAAGGTTTACCATTTAAATAAAAAAAAGAAACCTGGAGGACTTTTACTCTACTTATAAATACTGCAGGAACACAAAGGAGAATTTGATGTGGTCATAACCGATTCATCTGATCCGATTGGGCCAGCGAAGAAGCTTTTCAGTGAAACTTATTATGGTTTAATCAAAGAAGCGCTGACAGAAAAAGGAGTGCTCTCTTCTCAAGGTTCTCTTATAGGCTTTTTTAATCTAGCAGGTATAGGTTTTAGATAGTTTTTAATCTTTTTTTCCAAGTTTTACTCCAGAATTTTCCAACCTCAAAACTACCTTCACTTGATCAGTCTTCATTTCTTCCAATTATCTACATCACAGACTCGAAAGTTTATTAAATTTTTAAAATTTCAAAGTCTTTTCAACCTTCGTTTTTTCAGGCGAATGTCCATGGCTTGACATAAAGTTTATTAGGGATCTCATTAGACGTGCATCGGTTTTGTATCCTCGTGTAGCTTATGCAGTTGGGTCTGTACCCACATATCCCACTGGACAAATGGGTTATCTGTTGTGCAGCAAAGATGAGGTTGGTTCGAACTACCGAAGTAACAAGTGATTAATTTTGTAAATTGGTATCATTTATCGAAATTCCTAATGATTTATTTTTTGCATGCACAATGAAGCCAGCTTATTTCAGAAGCAGGATATTACGATACCACTGAAAATTTTATCAGAATCTGAAATCAAACGCATGAATCTGAAGTACTATAATTCTGATGTACATCGTTCGGCTTTCATATTACCGCAGTTCGCAAAAGAGGTAAATTGCTTTTATTTCTTTGTTTTCTAGTTTCTAGGTTGCAGCTCATTTGATCCGTTATACCTGTCTATAATGGAATGAAATGAAATGAAAATAGGAAATTAATTTTCTCTAATATTGTTCAACAAAACATTTCGCTCCCGTGAGTCGTTTTTGTTCGTATTTTAAACACACCCATACAATTATATTGGCTGAAATTTTCCACACGGTTATGAGCTAGCAAATTAATAATGCAAAAAAGTATTTTCTATTCTTAGATCATATTTACCATAGTATTAAGATACTAATGCACATGAAGTGTAACTAATTTTATTCTGTCTTAGAGCATTTTTTCCACTCAGAAAATGTTGATTTCTTCTAAAAATTTGAAATGTACTCAGAAATGTTCAGTCCTATCAAAAAAATTTTTCCAGGCCTTGTGTGTGTGACTAAAAATCAAAGATTCGTGTCCAGCACTGATGAAAATAGTAAAGATCAAAGAAATGTATTAATCCTTCTTGCTGTCTGTTAACGCTATTTATTCCAATAATTATTTGCCAAATTTGAGGAAAAATTCCAACAAGCTGAATTACTTTTTTCAACTATCAAATCATTTTTCTTTTATTATTAAATCACTTTTGTTACAACCTTTTTTCAAGGGAAACTTATTAAATCACTTTTCTTTTTTACATCCTTTTTTCAAGGGTGTACCTTGCATTGTTGTACGAGTGGTATTAAACAAAATGACCTTTTGGAATGAGTGTCATGATAAATTGTCTGCGATGATGCATTTTATGATGTTGCGAATGCCAAAAGCAGTTGGTAGATGAAGATTCCCTCAGGTTCGAACTTATATTCATATGAAGGAGATATTTTTGACAGATAAGATACTAAAATCCAGAAGCAACTGCCGAGAACCGGTTTCGACAATCTCGCGATGTTCTTGATAAATGTTTGGTGAATGGAGTCACTTTTTATTGAGGATCCCAGAAACGGAAGCTTGAAGCAGGAAGAAGCGATGTCAATCAGCTCGGTGTCAATCACAAATTGTATTGGTTTTGATCGATTAGATTGAAGCTGAGGTTTAAATTAACTGAAACACACTCTCACAGCATTTAACGCATTTAATGCTTTTAACAGCATTTAATGCTGGGAATAGTAGTCGTAGTCGCAATAGCAATGAGCTGGCAATAATGAAATGTTGTAGATGAACAAGAAAGGGCCACATATTAATACAGATATTTGAGTTATTCATGGAATAGTAAATGATTCTGTTCTTCAGATCCCACTCTGGATAAAAAAATTTCAGATTTATTTTGAATAATCTTTATGAAACTACGCAACTTCGGTTAGGGTGGCTACACTTTCAAGAAATATCTCAATAGCACTAGACGTTTTATATTTGTCAAATGCAAAACACTTGCGCTAGCATGATAGAAATATAGTAAAATATTAAAAAAATATACGGATAATAAATGAAGCAAAAAATAAGAAATCTTGCAGGGAGGAAACAAGAGGACTTGTTTATATCACGGGTGTTGCGTAAAGTTAGAAAGAATGAAAGAACAATAGAAATAAAAAATCTGATGACAAACATATGGAAAAGAAAATAGAAAAGAAAATCTTCCCAGATGGCATATTAACAGATTTATACAAACAAATCTTTTTTAAATGAAAAATAAGCAGATGAACCTAAGCTCTATTTTATTTCTTAGACTACACCTAAAATTAGGAAAGTTTTAAAATACTACAAATAGTAAAAGAGTTGAAATGTATCCAATTCGAGAACATTGATTTTGCGATTGAAAGCCGCTCAATGCTTGGTTCACATTCTCTTTCATTTAATGCTAACAGAATGTCAGCGTAGATTAAAAAACATATCTCAATAAATTCCCGAATCACTAAAAATTTGTGGAAAGCATCCATATGTATGTCGATTGTCAGATATCCCAGATACTACAAATAATAAAATAGTTGAAACTTCACAAAGTATAGTAACAAAGAGTGACTGATGTTGAGCAAATACACTGCTCTAAATTTTAATACAGGCAAGAGATGAGAGAATTTAAAAAAAAAAGACTGGGATAGAAATTTCACCTTCATTGGGATTATGATCGGATAGCTTGTAAAAAACATACAAAGAAATTTCTGCACAAACACGAAATGTTAATTCCTTCAAAATCTTAAAGCATTTATTTCTTAAAAAATATTTAAAAAGATTAAATTTACATCCCGAAATTCCCAAAACAAATCAAAAAGCAATTCAATTATTCCATGAGAGTTAAATGTTCTTCCACTCAAAGTGATGAAGTAAAAAAAAAACTGAGCATACAAAATATATCTATCACCCGAGGTTAAAATTAAAATTTATCTAAAATTATCAGTATATGCACAGAATTTCAGATTTCTAAAATAGAGTGAAAATGTTCCAAAATTAGAATTGTCAACTGAGGATGCTTTCTCATATCATGTACATTTGAACTTTTGCAAATTTATCATGCGAAATTTCGCAAAACGAATTCCTATATAGAAAAAAAGAAATTAAGCAAACATTAAATGGAAAAGTAGAAACAGCGATAAACTTTCAATTGCATACAATTAGTTATCCTGAAACTTCGAAATTAAAAAATAGACCGAATGACTACGAATTCATGGCTTTCTCAAAACTTTCTCACTACCTCATAGCGTCAGATTCGAATACTTGACAAAATTTTTCTAAACTGCTTTAGTAATGTCAATCATGGATATAGAATCTAACGAAGGTCCTGACAAATCATTTTCGTACATCCAAAAGGTTTGTTAATTGAAAAATTCATCATTAAATGGATCATTGTTAGAAGTGGTTGAAACAACCAAAGGAGCAGAAGTTCGAGTGGATATACACGGTGCCCGTGACGAACCCGTCATTATCGGTGTTGGTGCTGCTGCCGTCGCATTTGATGTCATTACATCTATCGATACTCTTTTTGGTGGAATCATCAGTTCATTAAAGGGATTTTTCTTTAGTTCCGAATTGGAAATAAGCGTATCCATATCAACTAGTTTATTGAATGCTTCCTCCAGAGTTGACACTCTCTTCTTTTCTGTCCACTGAGAAAACATTCTGAAATCCGATAGTATTAACAATTAGATTCGATATATTTGAATTTTTAAACTATACCAAACATAACAAAAATCTTAGAGGAAAGGAAGGCATTAGACAACAATGCTAGCGTAAATACTCCCAGAGAGTGCGTTGAAACGCGTCTATCATTTTTTTACTATATTTCTGTACTTGAATAAAGCATTTGACCGGAAAAATGAAAAATCACTAGACGAACTGGGACAGAAAATTGAAACCTTGGATCAGTGCCTGTTGGAGGTATGGTATTTTCATTTGTCGACCAAGAAACTGCCGTAGGAAGGGTATAAGATGCAGAACCTTTCAGAACTTGCTGCGCTTGTTGTGTATCAAATGGATCATGTTCTATCCTTGCTTTAGTAGTACCCTGTACTGATGAAACAAACGGATTTGTCTCCTACAAAAAATATACTCCATTGACATACAAAGAAATGGTTTTAGATTTCTGTTATAATAAATTTATTTAAGCATTTAGAGAAAAAACTAGAAGATATCAGAACAGACCTAGCAATCTACGACGATATTTTGTGTTAATATGGATGAATGCAATGAGCAGTCTTTGAACTGTTAGAAATGATTCTGTTAATAAAGAAACTGTTGGTGAATAAAGCATATGAAGGATATAAGAGAATTAGTCTTTACAAGATGCTTTAGTAATCCTGCTCCCTTCTCAAAATACAATGAAACAATGAAGTAAAGGTAAAATACATTATCTCATAATGTATTTCACCATTACCTAGTTATTTCACTGTCTCTTACTCTTAAACTTTTATGTGAACGGCTAATCGACACGTAAAAGTTTTGAATATATTCCACATTAAAGGATGATCAGTAATACTATTAACATAGCGATACAAAAACAAACAAACCGAGAAAGCAATGGGACGGTTGTTTATAGAAGATGTAAAAAGATCAGGATACGACCACAAAGTTGTCAGTGGCTGTGTTGAAAGAGAAGGTGGTTGCTGGACGTCAAAAGCATTTAGTGGAATATTTCCGGGTGGCGGAACTGTCGGAAGAGACCGAGGATTGAAGCTATCATCGAAAGGGTCTGCTGGATTTTTCTGAGCAAATGATGAAACAGGAGGTGGTGGTAACGGTGCAACGGTTCCAGTTGAAGATGGAAGAAAAGGTGTTGATGGCTGTGCGTTAGTAAAAACATCACTGGTAGGCCAAGAATCTTCTGCGAATGTCGGAATATTTTGCAACTGATTATAACCTTGTTCAATGTTATGAAGCTCAGATTCCAAGTCTAGTAAATCTGCTACCGCAACACCATTATCCATCCGTACGCCATCTATCGTTCCCGATTCCTGTAATAATTAAATTATAGGCCGTAGTGCCTGGTAAGTTCATAACATCACTACATGCTGCGATTCGAAATTTGAAGCTTAATTTAAATGAACCCTTCTATCATTATACACAATTTCTAAAATTTTTTCAAATTATTAGAAGGCATAAAGGAACCATATGATTCAACCTCTTAAATTGAACAGCGCATTCGCTCAACAAAATGCTTTCAAAGAAAAGATCAATAACCAAAACGCCACTATCCTTTTTCAGACTATTCAAGTTTTAAGTGACTCTTGAGAGTTAAATAAAAATGTCTCAGCTTTGAACATACTCGCTTTTGTTGTTCTTCTTGCTTTTGTTTTACTTCAGCAAGATGCGCTTTTTTCATTTCAAAAACTATTTGGAACATATCACGAATTGATAGGACTGCACGATCAGCCGTTTGCGCCGTTTTAATTCCTGCAAAATTTACAATCCATGCAAACGCAAAACAAATTTTCAATCACTTACTAACACTTCATGTTCCTTAAAATTTATCTTGAATTTTTAGGTCAAAAATGAATTATTACAGCGTATTCTACTAACAAAAATAAACAAAATATCAGCATCACTTCTTTCTTTTTCAGATTCCGGCCAGTTTCCCCACTTTTTGATCTTCATGCAGTGTTCTTGGCAACAGAAATCCAATCTGTTAAAATATGATTTACAATCGTAAGTAACTGACCATAAAATTTGTATTTGTTATCCGAGCAACTGTAAATAAAACCGAATGCACGTGCATCTGTCGTATCTCGAGCTATAAACGAGATCCGTGAAACAGGGAAATTGTGCAGAATTGTCTGAAAATATTTGCTTCACAGCATTCCAAAAAACTAATTAAAACAATGCACAAATAATCTCAAATTTTAAAGTTATGGCTATCACTAAAGTTTACAAAGATTGCTTGAGCTTTCAATGCGATGCTGTTTCAAGATTCCCAGATACAAATTGTCACAGTTACAATAAACTGACTATTACTTACTTATTAAATGGTATAAATTCACTGCTCTCATCAGAGATTTGCATTAAGAAAATTTTCATTAATGAAATTTTTGCTTTTGTTACAAAAAATAGATCAATAATTAAATATACGTCAAGTCCAGGACTTGAGTGACAATTTCCATTAGACGATTGTCCACATCAAACAATTTTCGTCATTTAAGTTCTGCTACTTGAAAAGTGCTCTAATAAATCTGTTTTAAATGGTAGAAAATTATATTTGAAAAAAACGCAAAAGAAGCGCTTCATTCAGCAGGCTTGAAAATCACTCACTTGAGTTTTTTCATCTTTAATTTTGAGGCCTTCAATTGATATATTGAGAATAATTCGTTGTTTATGATGGCCCGCACTTTTAACAGCCGCTTTCGCAAGTCTCATCGCTTCGGCACACATTGTGTCACCACGAGCTTCATCAACATCTCGAACGCCGATCAACTTACCTTTGAAATCTACGCCATTCCCTTGGAATCGAAACGGATCATTACTGGATAACGCTGAAAAAAAGTAGAAATAGTAGTGAAAAGTAAAGATTGCTGTGTTAGTAGACAAAAACAAATCGATGCATTTTGATGTAAGTAACTTGAAGGGTAAGAAATAATTTCACTTTTTTTACAACCAGATATTATTTCGTTAATTATATTAATAAAATCTAAGACTGTGGGATGAAATTATAATAAATACTTCACTTAAATAAAAACGAAATAATTGGTGTATCATTATTTTATAGAAAAAAGCACTTCAAACACTAAAATGCAGGCAATTTTACTTTAATAAAATTAGGCATCTACTGATCCGCTTCATTTAAAATCTCTCCAGATCTCAAACTCTCTATGTTAGTACATATTTGTACCTATCTCTACAACTGAATTATAAAATCTGCATTTAAGAGTGTTCGGTTAGGAAAGGAGCAAGACAAAAGTAGTAGAATATAACGAAATATATGATAATTCATAAGTTCAAGTAGTAAGATTCGTGATTATCAGTGCAGCTTGTAACGTAATCTATCTAGGACCAGTCATTATCTTTTTACAGGTCCTAATCTTTCAGTCCCTTGCCGTACTTTGCTGAAAGATTTGGAATGATAAGGTAAGGGTACCGAAAAGTGCTAACGCTATTATTCAACTAGTAGAAATGGACGAAGTAAATGGGAATTTGTACAACGATTTACGACAATGATTACTTGTCGCAGCACAATTATTACCTCCCGCAATACAAGCAATGACATGCGGTGCTAACACATCAATAGAAGCGCGCAACCAATCCTTTTGACACGTCTAAAACATCAATTTCAATGTCAGTTACAAAGAACTACTTCAGACTTATATCACCTTTCAACTAATGAATGCCCTAATGGTACCCACACATTATTTGATCATTTAATGATAAAATGAAATGACTGGTAATAAAAAAAAAGAGTATTAGCTTAAACATGAAATATTCGAAAAGAAACGAAAGACCTTTGCACTTGGTGGATGACCGCTTCAGCATCGCCAATCTTGCCCTCGGCGAGTTCGCTCTGCCATTCGACAACGACCCATGTTGCTGCTGTCCCACTGCACCTGCAGCTGCAGCTGCAGTGTTGCCGATACTGTTAGCCGTTGTGCCGTCCTGCGCTCTCTCCTCCCTGCTATTTTGCTCCTCCTTTAAACGACGTTGTTGTTGGAAGCCGACCATTGCGCTTTTCTTTGGTCTTTCTCTTCTTGTGTCCTCTCTTAGTTCCTGTGTTCTCTTGCTTTGCAACTCTAAAGTTTATATCCGGTAATTTCAAGGTTAATTGAAAATGTGAAATTACATTTCGCAAGAAGTTAGACATCACAATGAACTAAATGCACGCTAATCTCACGTTTATTACAAACTTTAATATTTTCTTTTTTTGTTTATCTCTTTGAAAAATTCTTCGACATTTTCTCAAATTCCCAAATCCAAACTTAAAATGTTTAATTTTACAATTTCATAATCGAAAATTAATAAATTTGATACATCACACTTATATATGAAATAGGTGATAAAAAGAGAGATCACAAAGAAGAGAGTGAAAAGAGAGTAGTTTCAAGAGAAAGAGAATCAGGCTATATGAAAAAGAGGGAGAAAGAAA